TGCTAAAGCGCTGCTAGCATGTTCTTAGGCAGAGGTTACAGAACAGGCATCCCTAGGCTTTGTTTAACTGGCAGCATTTTAAAAATATCAATCCTACATTTAAAATTTGTAGGATTTAAACAGAAAACCCAGACTTTTGGCTCCTCTTGAAAGACTGGAAGATCTGGCAGCACTGGACTTGTGGCAATTAGCTCGAGGTGGGTAGCAGCTGTCCCTTTTGGATAGGGCACCTGCTCTCCAGTTTGAGTCTCCAGGACTCACATTAGGGCGACCATACAATTTTCCAAACAATGGCATTTCTGAAATTATAAAGCGGGCTGCAGGTATAAACTAGGACTGTCATGAAAAATCAGGATGTATGACTACTCAAATTCACACTGCTTTACACTCCCGTCTTCTTCACTCACTGCTATTTGGATTATGTGCTCATAAATCAAGGTGTAAAATGAGGAAGAACATGAAAGTTGAAAAGAAAACCAAAAACTGAGGATTATTAAAATGAATGCCAATTACACCAAACCTTTAGGTAAAGGCAGAGCCTTGCTGGTGGCTGGCTCAGCGTGTAAGTTTGACCTTTCTGGCTCCCTGCCCTACACAGCACTGTCAGTTTTAATAAGCTGTAATCCCGTAGCTACAAGCGAGACTAATCAAACTGCAGAGAGCAGCCTGTTCCTAATCAGGAAGGCACAGGATAATCATTTAACTCGGTGGTTTCTCAGTGAGTTGCAAGCTGCCTTTGCAGGAAAAAAAAAAAGGCATCCTGGATAAGAGTTGCTTACATGATACAGGAGGGACCCTTTGATGGTCTTCATTTGACATTTTATTAAAATGCTTTAATTATTCAAGTATTTGGTTGGGGGCAGGAAGCTTTAGAAGAAGCCTTCTCCTTTTATACTTAGTTCCCTATTTCATTCTCTGGAAAAAACAAAATCTCACTCCTCCCCGGTGGCACGGTGCCAACACAAAAGTCAACCAAAACGTCAAAGCTGCTCCTTGGAAGCAGTTTCCATCTTTAAAGTTGAAAAGTTTCCTCCTTTAAAGATTTACAGCCTCAAACCTGATGAAGGGTAGCTATGGGTTGAAATTAACTTGATGGCAGTAAGGTGGGCTTTGGTTTGGTTTTGGCTTTTTTTCCTAAATACCTACAGGAAAGGACTTGAATGGTACAAAATGTTAATTAAGCATTAGGCTGCTAATCAAAAGGTCAACAGCTTGAATCCAGCTGCTTCGTGGGAGAAAGATGAAGGAGTCTGCTCCTTGTAAAAGTGATACCCTTAGGAACTCTCTCTAGGGAGGCTCAACTCTGTCCTGTAGAGTCAACAATGCAACTGGCTCAAGTCAATTCGCTCAATGGCAGATGTGGTTTTTCTAGTAAGCCCTACAGGAAAACAGACTCCTACTAATCACTCAAGAGTCCATCTGATCACAGTCTCCACACTCATTCAAAGTTTTAGACTAGAGGGTGCTGGGGATATGGTAGGATACGCCTACGTGTATCTCCATGGGACCATGGGCTAAACGTGCCAGGCATCCCTCAAGGGGCAGCAGCCAGAGCCAAGCTCCTGCAAAGCTCCTAAAGTTCCTCATAACAAAGCCAGAGGCCCCCTCAATTCAGATCTTACTTCTCTTAGCCCCTTCACCCAGGGGTCCTGAAGCACAAGTTTAGAAAAGCTATTTAATAGTTACTAATTGAGCTTTGGTCAAACAGATATAGAATCAAATCTGGGACAGGACTGCACATTCCTGGGATGACTCAGCCTTCCTGAAACTCAGTTCTGTGACACAGGACGAGCAATACCTACACCTTACAGAGATGTTCTAATGATAATTATATATGCATGGAAAGAATTGACTATGGAACCTGCCACATTTAAAATGTTCCTTTGTGGTTATTACTATTTTTATATTGTTCTAGCAAGCCTCAAGGCCTCTAGTTACATAATTTAAAGAGAGAGGTAAAGGAATCTTCTCATAATGTGTCTCACTAAATAGCATCTTTTTTGGATTCTGCATTTAGCATGAGTGCTCTTAAAGCAATCTCCACAGATAGAATCAATATAGAAAAAAATTATTTTCCACTGAGAAATCTCTAGAACATTCCTGGTACCAAGGAGATTTAATATTTTGTTTAATAAACTCACTAACATTTACAGAAAGCAATACACTGTGAATATTTTTAATTAAAAAATGCTTACTGGCTAATGTCTTTAATAGATTTACGACATTAAAGGAAAGAAACTTTTCAAATATGCTAATAAAAATACTCAGGAACTCAAAACAATATTGGACTGAATTTCAGTGTTTTGAACATAAATCTTAAATTTTGCATGGGTTCCAGGACATTTATTGATACTCTCCCAACTGGTATGATTTGGTATTCAATAGGAACAAGAATATGTCCAGTACAATAACATTTCAAAGCAACCTGATCTGTGAGCACAGAAACTCTAAACACCCCTTGCCATTTATGGAGGAAAGAGTATAGGAGTTTTCATCAATTCAAAACTTATAACTTCCACTAATAAAAGAAAACTATAGATGGATTCCCAACACATAAAAACATGTAACTATATAATAACAGTGTTCAGTAATGCCCACTGAAATAATGAACAAAATACAGCACAAGCATGTAAAATAAAACCATGTGCCTCCTAGAAGAATGGCCTCAATGCTTTTGATGTTATTACAAAAACTTACGTGTGCATGCACGGTATTTTCACATTTACATGCCCATGCATATAATGCATATATACAGTTAATGCACATAGAAGCCACAGGAAACCAATTCATGAGGGGGGTACATGGCTTACAAAGACACATAATGAGCACATTTATTTATGCAAAAAGTACAATAAGCATATTCCTTATAGAAAACTTAAAAAATATAGATAAGCTTGAAGAAGGTAAAAATCACCTGACACACCATTAGCACAAATGTCTGTTGTAGCAAGAATAGAAAAACACGGAAATCTGCAGACGATGAGGGAGCCCTTCTGAGCTTCAGTATCTGCTGAGGCAAATTCACTAAACACTCGATCCACTGGCCAAATCCCCTTTTAGGCTCTCAATATCTCCACTGCCGCCTGACTCCTGGCACTGCTGTAGTTTTCATCAGGCTAACAAAAATCAATAAACAAGGACAAGTAAGGCTGTAATTCTAATCTTAAACTTTGTGTTTCTCAAATTGTAGAGCTAGATGGAATCTTAGAAGTTCATTTAGTCCTATCCACAATCCTTGTCCCATTTATCCAGGAGGAAATAGGCAAGGGCAGGCCAAGTGATTTTCTCAGGCGTCACAGCTGAGGAGGACTGAAACTTGATCCTGTAATTGCCAGGCCAGAGCTCAGTCCAAGTAAACATACTATGAATGAAACTCCACAAGTGAAGGGGCCAGTCAGACCGTGGACAGACTGCTGATGAGGCTGGAGGACAGAGATGTATGACCAGAGAAAAGCAGTACAGTATATTTTCAGCTCCTGACAGGCAATTACTCAGGTCTGGGGAGGCCGGTCACAAATAAACCATGGGGACAAATGAAAGAAAGTGACCTGGGCCAACTAACTGATCAGAGGAGCAATGTATAAGCCCATACTCCAGAGAGATACATCAGTGGTTAAAAAAACAGTAGTGTCCATGAGAGTATAATGATCAGAAGAAAATTCTCAACTCATTCCTTTTTCGTCAACAAGCTGTCTACAGACGTCATGTGATGCATGCAATTCCCAGTCCAACTAAGCGGAGCTTCAGGATCTCATCTCTACATTAAGGCTGTCCTCTCGTGTCAATTTTGTCTTTAATGACTAATAACAATACTGACTTCTTGATGTGTTTTGAAAACAGAGATAATGGTGGAAACTGCTGGAACATAAACTATTTTTACAACAAGAGTAAAAATAATATTAAAAAGTGTGTGGCTACGTGGGTATATGCAGGTGCATATATAAGTATAGGAAAGCATATGTGACTAAACAGACTCAGATGTATAGGTGAATCTGTTTGCATATGCACACAAACACATAGATAAATGTGTGTGCTGCATGTATATCCACATATAATACAAACCACATAGGGGGCACAGGTAAAGAGGTTTCTTAGATAAACTCAATTCCTGAGATTGCTTTAGTGGGTTAAAAGGCTGAAACAACTATTCAAGGAGAAAAACTTAATTGGCACAGCATAGTTTTACAAAGATAATGTCCTACAGCCTGCTTTGGTAAGTAGACCTTAAAAGTTTGTGAGTGGCCATCCAAGATACAAACTCATATGGAACAAAAGAGAATGAAACAAATCAGAGGTTCAAAAGAAATGATTTCATGGTACTATCAGCTCGAAGAACCAGAGATCTTCGTACCTGAGACTCAAAGAACTACACAGTGCCCAATACCAACTATTTCTTTCAGGACACAATACAAAGTCTTAGGTAGAATGAGAGAAAAATGAAGACTAAAACTCAAATTCCTAAAAAAAGAACAAACTTACTGACAGACTTGTGGAACCATTGCCATTACTGCCCCAAAATAATCTTTGAATTTGGAAATGAAGCCATTATAGCTAGGTCAACTTTCAGCTTAAGATTGGCTTAATAAAATAATCATTATCACCCATGAGTAATGTGCTCCCTTAAATAATTAACTATTTGAGACAAAAACGGTCAATATTTACCCAAAAGTAAGGAAGGCAAGGAAGGGAAGTAAAGTTAGATTAAAGGACACAGAACAAAAAAAAAGGATGAAAATGTTGACATGTTGCAAAAACTGTAACTAACAGGATACAAAAAAATCTCTATAAAACTTGTTACTGGGGAACCTAATTTGCTGTATAAACTTTTGCCTAAAATACAATAAAATGAATTTTTTAAAAAGTCAGATGTGTAGGAATTCAGGTTTAGCTGGCCTGCCAGCTGTCCAATTATCCTATTCTTTATCTATCTACTCTTTTCCTTTTCTATAGCATGATGAAACAAACTACCTTTTCTTAAACAACAACAAAAAAAGTCAGACGTGGTTGGTAGCTCTCAGGACTCTTGCCTGAAGATGAGTTCTTTCAATTGTGCCAGTTTGTCATTTTTTAATGCTTCTCGAATGGACTGGAAAAATGCAAAATAATGTTCAAAGTTGTGCATCATAAGCAGGACGCTGGCCAGCAGTTCATTGGTCATCAGCAGATGGTGGATGTATGCACGAGTGTGATTCTTACAGGAGTAGCAGCAGCAGCCTCTCACCAACGGGTCAAAGTCCTCCTGGTACCTGAAAAAGGAAATAGCCATGACATTTCATGAAGAGAAGGATCCACAACCTAGACTGTCTACTCACTGGTGCAGCAAGAGAAGATTAAACATTACTGGAAAATGTCAGTGCTGGCTTAAGATGGCAACATAGACAAAAGTGAACAAAGAGCTAAGACAGAAGAATCTTGAAAACATGCTGGACACTGAAGAACAAATACTGAGATGTCAATTAAATGAAATATCTGGGGTGGGCAAATGCATCAAGACTAACGTAGGTTAGAAGTGACTAGGATTTGGCACAAACGAATGGCTTGAGAAGTTGTCATACATTCATACAATGGAATACTAAGCAACATGCAGGAGCAATGATTTTGTAAATTACTACCTAACTTGGGAGGGACTGGAGAGCATTATGCTGAGTGAATTAACTCAGTCCCACAGGACAAATACTGTATAAAACCATTACTGTAGAATGAGTATGAGGATCTAAGGGGGAAGAGGGTGGAAGCAAAGGGGTGAGGATGGGGGGAGGGGAGGGTATTAATCATAGAGCTGCATGGTGGGTAGGATGAAGGAAGTAGGAAGGATCTTTTGTGAGAAACAATGTACTCAAACTTTGCAAATAAATCAGTATTTAAAAAAAAGTTACTAGGGGTTGGAAGGAGAATTCTTAAGGAGTATAAAGTTAGAGATGGAAGGATTATGTTTCTTTTTTTTTTAGGGTGTATGCCATCTTAGCCATCCACAATTCTCTGGTTTGTTAACTATAGTCCTTGTAGTTGTTCATGAGTCCCAATATAATAGAACCACTTCCATGATAAGATTTACTATGAGCAGTCAAGCAGCGGAAAGAAGGCTGTGACTGCATTAAATATATATGATGTCTGGCAAAGCTCTCTTACTTTTTTGCTCCACTGAGACCCTGCAACTGGATTGAACCAACAGTTCTTCAGTTCTTTGTATCTGAGCCAGTAGCCTGCCATCTTGCCTGCAAATACTGGATTCATCAGCCTACAAAGCCAGCAGCCTGCCATTATACCTGCTGATCTTGGGTATGGCTGAGAAGACTTTATCATGATATTTAACCCACAATTTGGGCCATGCCAGCCTCTCCTACTTCCTTGTGATAAATTTCTCTCTCTCCCTTTCCCTCTCTCTCCCGCCCGCCCGTGCGTACTCTCTCTCTCTCTCTATACATATATAAATATATAGATATACATATATATAAACTTTAGGGGTTTTAAAAATAAACCGTGATGGTGGCTATACACCACTATGAATGTAATAAATCTATTAAATTATATACTGCAAAATGGTTAAAATGGCACATTTTATGCAGTTATGGATTGTACCACAATAATAATAATGATGTTAACAAAGAATAGAGTAAGTCAAGGAGATTCAAAGTTTTGACATCTTCTTATTAAGAAATGCTGTCCTGAGTAAATAATACAGCATTTCTCACAACTAGAATTAGTATCAAAAGACCCATTACCTTGTATATGTGTATAGCTGTTTGTCATTTACCCCTTTCACATGCTGCTTTGTTTCGTTTCCACAAAAACAACTGAAGATAGGTATGCACATTGCCAATTCTAGATGAAGAAACACAGCTACTACGGAGGTCAAGAAGAAGGCTCTGAGGCTATAATGCTGGATCCAATCTCTGACTCTTCATTTCACTGGGGCGAGTCATTTAACCTCTCGCTGGGCCTGTGCTTTCTCATCTGTGAATCCAGGGTCGTAACAGTGCCTGCCTCAGGGTTCTTGTGAGGAATAAATGAGTCACTAAAAGACTTGATCACTGTGGTGCATATTAAGAACTCTAAATATGTCAACTTTTACTAGCATTCAACAAGGCTTAAGCGACTAGAAGTTACATAATCAAAATCACTGTCAGGGACTGAATCCCAAGTTTCCAAACTTTCAAATCTAGTGCTGATAACAAGCAATGCAACTTCAAATGAAATCTGCAATGTAAGGGGACTTTGGTAGAACCTTCTTAGCTAATCTTTATGATGTTAAATGTGTTTTCTGTTGCTGTGGTTAGATGCACTCAAGTCAGTTCCTACTCACAGCCATTTCATATATATAAGTAAAAAAAAATAAAAATAAACGCCAGCTAGTGCTCCTAAACTTTCTTGTCCACTGTTGCAGCCTCTGTACCAATTCCTTTCATTGAGGGTCTTCTTCCTCTTCACTGACCTCTCCTTTACTAAGCATGATGATGTCATTCTCAGGTGGCTGTGAGGTGATGTCTTGTCATCTCCACATCTGAAAGGCACTCTGGCTTATACATCTTCCAAAACAATGTGTTTAATATTAAATATTCTTCCCCAGGATCATAAAAAAGGGCATTCCTTCATCGTTGGTCCCACTTATTTACTGTTGTACACACAAGGAAATGGCTTGAGTATGGTGCACTTCTATCTCAAAGTGATACCTTTGTTTGTTAACACATTTAAGATTCACTTTACAGCAGATTTATTTGTCCAGTGCAGTAAGTTGTTGGACTTCATGGCGACTATTTCCACACATGAAATCCTGGCCAATGTCAGTCTCTTCTCTGTTATCACAATGTTGTCTACTGGTCCAGTTGAAAGGATGTCTTTTTGTTATGATGAGATATAATCCACACTGAAGGTTACAGTCTTTGATCTTTAGCAGTAAGGTCTTTAAATGATTTTTGCTTTCAGCAAGTAAGGTTGTGTGTCATCTGCATATTACAGCTGTTAGATGTTTTTGGTAAGTAGAAAAACAGAAAGCATCAACTATACTGACCTTTCCAGTGTTTCTTTCATTCTTTTTTAAATAATTTTTATGTATTTTGAGTGAAAGTTTACACATCATACCAGTTTTCCATGCAATCATTCAAAGACATTTTAATACATATTGCAGTTGTTTGTCTCTAACCCTAATGCCATGTTCTTCTTTCAGCCTAGTTTCTCAGAGTATTTGTTCAGCAAGTAGACTGCAGAGTGTGGTGATAGGATACAGTACTGACACACCCTTTCCCTGATTTTACACCATGCCATATTCCCTTGTTCTGTTCCAATGACTGCCTCTTGGTCTATGTGGTGGCAGCTGTCATGACCTCAGACCTGCATTTAAAAAGGTCTACAGACTTTTGGTAAGAACAGGATTTTCACATTAATTCAGAAGGTATCATGTCTATACTGTTATTACAGACATAAATAAGTGTGAATCTCTAAGGTATTTCATTTTATAAGAGAAAGAACCAAACAAGGAAAAAAATATACCAATCAAACATCCAACACTACACTGAAGGCATTAAATTCAGAGAAAACACTCCCTCATTGGTTTACAGAATATCATTATTTTTGGCCAAATACAAAGCTCAAGTTATCTTTGTTTATTCCTTGTAGAAGCACATATTTTGAGATATATAACTTGTATACAACTCAATATCAGCTGTGAAAACCAGGCCAGGTGTTGACTGTGGAACAGACTACCAACTACTCATAGCCAAGCTGAAGTTGAAGAAAATGAAATCAAATCCACAGGAACCAAAATTTGACCTTAAGTCTATTCCATTTGAACTTCAAAACCATCTTAGGAACAGATTTGAGGCCTTTAACACCAATGAGTGAAGACTAAATGAGCTGTGGGAGGATATAAAGAATATAGTCCATGAAGAATGCAAAAGATCAATACAAAGAGAGAAGAGGAAGAAAAGACCAAGATGGATGTCAGATGAGACTCTGAGTATTGCATTAGAGTGCCGAGAAGTCAAACAAAGATACCAAGAAATTAAAGAGCTGAACAAAAATTTCAAAGGGAAGCTTGGGATGACAAAGCAAGATATTACAATGAATGTGCAAAGAACTGGAGTCAGAAAATTAAAAGGGCCAAACTCGCTTAGCATTTCTTCAGCTGAAGGAATTGAAATATTCAAACCATGAGTGACAATACTTAGGATGCTTTAGGTAGAATGTGAAATGATCCAAGAAGCAATAAAAAAAGATGGAAGGAGTATACACAATTACAGTACAAGGAACTGGCAGACAGAGGAGAATTTCATGAAATAACGCATGAGCAAGAACCTGTGGTGGTGAAGCAGAAGTTCAAGTTGCTCTGAAAGAATTGGCAAAAAGCAAGGCTCCTGGAGTTGATGGCGTAACAACTAACATATTTCAACAAACAGATGCTGCCCTGGATGTGCTCACCAAGTTGTGCCAAGAAATCTGGAGGACAGCCAACTGGCCAACTTACTGGAAGAGATCTGTATTTGTTCCCATTCCAAAGAAAGGTGACCCGAAAGAGTATGGAAATTATCAAATATCATTAATACCACATGCAAGCAAGATTCTGCTGAAAACTATACAAAAACAACTGGAGCAACACGTCAACAGAGAACTGCCAGACATGCAGGCTGGGTTTAGAAGAGGCTGTGGTACTAGAGATATTATAGCTAATATTAGATGGATCTCGGCTGAAAGCAGGGCGTACCAGAGGAATGTCTATCTGTGTTTCACTGACTATGCAAAGGCTTTTGACTGGGTGGATCACAACAAACTGCGGCTGACTCTGAGAAGAATGGGAATCCCAGAACATCTAATTGTACTTATGCAAAATCTATACTTGAACCAAGAGGCAGTCGTCAGAACAGAGCAAGGAGACACTGCATGGTTCAAAATTGGGAAGGGCGTCTGCCAGGGATGTATTCTGTCCCCATACCTTTTTAATCTGTATGCAGAACAGATCATCTGGGACGCTGGGCTGTATGAGGAGTAATGTAGCATCAGGACTGAACGAAGATTCATCAACAACCTGCGTTATGCAGATGACACAAACCTGCTTGCTGAAACAGAGGAGGACCTGAAGAGCTTGCTGCAGAAGGTCAAGGACTAAAGCCATCAATATGGATTGAAGCTCAACATCAAGAAAACAAATATTCTCACCACTGGGCCAACTGGCAACATCATTATGGATGGTGAAGTGATTGAGACTGTTAACAGTTTTAGTTTGCTTGGTTCCAAAATCAACACTCTTGGTACTAGCAGCCAGGAAATCAAGAGATGAATTGCATTGGGAAAGTCAGTTGTCAGAGACCTCACCAGAGTCCTGAAGAAAAATGTCATTAGGCTGGAGACTAAGGTGCACCTTATCCAGGTCATAGTCTTTGCAATTGTGTGCTATACATCAGAGAGCTGGACAATGACTAGGGATGACAGAAAAAGAATCGATTCCTTTAAGCTGTGCTGCTGGAGAACAGTGTTGAATACACCATGGCCTGCTCGGAGAACAAACAGGTTTGTCAGAGGGTGAAACCAGGCTGCTCCTTGGAGGCAAGGATTCTGAAGTTTCATCTGACATACTTTGGGCATGCTGCAAGGAGGGAGCAGTCCTTGGAGAGGAACATCATGTTTGGGCGAGTAGAGGGACAAGAGAGGAAGACCCTTGGTGACATGGACAGATTCAGTGATCGGGGAAATGGGAGTAGGGTGTGTCAGAGACTGTGAGGGTGGCATAGGATAGAGCAGGGTTTAGGGCTCTTGTACATAGGGTTGCTGTGAGTCACAAGCAACTCAACGGCACATAACAACAATTCTGACTCCTAAGAACCTTGTAAGACATTATAAAATTGCTCTACAGGGTTGAAACTGCCAAACCCATGGCATCATCAGGACTCCTCATGTAAAGTATTCACATTCATTCATTGCTTTTGAGTCACAACCAACTCTCAGCTGACTCTCTAGTGGATTTTCAGAGCCTATAAATCACATAAACATTCTTCTAAGTGGTAGAGCACTGGTCTGTGCGTTGCTGTACAGAGGTAACTCGTGGTTGCTGTGATGCTGAAGACTGTGACAGTGATGTGCCAATCGTGGTAATGGGCACCCATGGTGGACAGTGTTGGCTGGAGCTTCCCGACTAAAACAAGCCTGGAAGCAGAAGCGGCATTCACTTCCGAAATGGCTTGCCTCTGGAAACTCTGTATGAACAGTGCTCAGGCTGTTCGTTCATAGGGTTGCTATGAGTCGTCTACGACTCGACGGCACCAAACAATATCATAAATCACATAGAGCAGATTTGTCCATCTTTTCAGAGAATCTAGTGGATTTTAACTGCATACCTTTGGGTTGAAAGTTCAACTTTTCACCCACTAGACGAATAGAACTCTGTTTTAATGTATTAGTATGTTACAAAGACTTCAAATATAATTAATTTGGTGTAATCATTCTGACAGTTTTTCTAAAGCATTATCTAGACTTTGACTTATTTCTGATAAAAACAAAACTACTTTGTAGAAAAGAAGTGTTTTTGAGAACTCTGAAATTTGAGAAGGCCCAGTATTTTACAAAATAATAATGTGATAAAAAAATAACTATAGGGTGAAGGTCTCTCTCAGGGAGAAGTGATAGGGAATGGCAAAGGGCACACTGACAAAGGAGATTAATCAGAACTGGCTTTGACAAGCACTGAGGCAATTGGGACAATTAAAACAGACATTCGGAGGGGGGGAGAAGAAGAACGAACTGGGGAGGAGGGTAGAGAAAACAGTGCAACAATGAATGAATGAGAACCCCAAATCTCTGTAAATGTTCATTAAAACTAATAAAATTTAATAATAATTAAAAAAAATAACTATACAAAATTTTAAAACAAACTGAAACAGGAATGTCAAATATCAAAATCCAAAGTTAAAAAAAATTTCTTACTTTTTTTCCTTTAGATTAATTTCAAACGATGTCATTTCTTGGATGCAATCAGTTGCTTTTGCTTTCTTTGCTTGGTCCTGATATTTTATTTCTTCTTGCATCCCATTCTGTTGTAACACTAAAGGACAAAACCAAGAAAAAGTCTTGAATGATGCTCAGATAAGGAGTACCACTGGTAGCATTTTATTTTAGCTATTATTTCATACTTTCTGACCCCATAATTCCATTCATGAGAGTTTATTCTAAGTAAATTACACAGAAAAAGCAAAGCAGTATTATGCAGAAAGATGGTCAGTGACCTGTTAGCTATATTATTAAAACAATTTAGAGATTAACAGTGTCTATGAAAATTATGGCTATAAACATGTAATATATAATCTTACTGTCAAGAACTAATTTTTATAGGTTAACATGTGTGCATGTGTGTGCATTAAAGAGAGGTAGAATCCATGTGTGTCAGTTAAGGTTAGTCCCACATTTCAACGAAATGCAGGTGAATACACTTGGCTTTGTAAGGAATCTATTTTGGACACAGGCAAAGTAGAAGACAATTTTAATTTATAGAAACTGTATAGAGACTTTGACCTTCCAGGGAACCCAGATTATCCAGAATTAAATAAGGACTTCAGATCTCTTGACACTAAGCTTTAAAAACCACCAGTCCTAGAACTGCAAGAGACATGTGCTATCACCAAAAGAGCTGCCAAGAGGCAATTAGGTTAAAGACATTTCTGGGAACAAGTGATAACCATCTCAGTGCAGCCCAAAAAGACAACAGGTATTCTGGGAAGGTCACAGGAAGGAGAGAAGTGATTTGAACCTTGAGCACAGCACTGTTATTATTTTGTTCCCAAAAATAGGCATGTTGATATGGAAAAACAAAATAAAGCGCTTTTTTTAAAAAAATTATTTTTTTGTGCATGTACCGTCAAATCATATCTGACAGGTACAGGAGGAAAATGTCTCTCCTTCTCCGGCAGAGCATCTGGTGGATTTGAACCGTGTACCTCTGGGATTGCAGTACAGTTTCTTGTCACTAGGCCACCAGAGCTCCCCTTCAAGTTCTTGATATTAACGAATTTGTCTCAGACATTCTGGAAAATGCCTGTCACTCAAGGGAATTGCTGTCTATCTTTGGTAAACTTATTCCTTTGGAGTTTTCACTTTGTATTTGGAGCACTGGTGGCCTAGTGTAAAGAAGCTGCACTCTAATTGCAAAGTCATGTGGTTCAAATCCATCAGCTGCTCCATGGGAGAAGGATGGACAATCTCTTCCTATGCAATTAACTGACTCTGAAAAACCACTAGAGGGTCAACTATGGGTCAGTACCGACTCCACAGTACACAGCAACAATGAGAAAAGACCTCACAGCCACACGTCCTTAGGCTGCTACTATTTAATATATAAAACTCTTCAAACTATTGAGTTTGCCTAATAATGAAAAATAAACCCCATATTTTCTCTAGCCTAAAGGGACTTACTGATTCTTTTTTTTTAATTTTTAAAAAATTTATTTTATTATCTTTGTGTGTGTACCGTCTAATCAGATCTGACTGGTACTGGAAGAGATTGAACCTCCTTCTCCAGCAGAGCATCTGGTGAATTCGAACCGCACACCTCTGGGATTGCAGTGCAGCTGCTCCCTGGGACTTATTTGTTCTTAAGAAGTCATTTTCAGTTTCTCTTTAGAACTTTGTATTTCATGGTACTAAATGACTAACAGTCTCCTCTGCCCTGATAAGAATAATTTAGTTTAATAAATATAGTTATGAAAATTTATAAAATGCTTTTAGTGTACTCATTCACATATATTATGGTCCAGTCTATACGGGATAGTCAAATTGATTTATTGTGTCAACTTCATTTATTTTATTTCCACAAGGATTCTGATCTACATTAATGAATGAGGGGTTTTACAAAGCTATGACATTCTCTCACATAAATTTTACTAACTTGTAGAAAATTAAAATAACATTTGAAGATGTTCCTAATCACCCTATTCACATTAAAGAGTCGTGTTGACAAAGACAGAGTTTTTAAAAAGCAGAAAAATGCAAAAGAAAGCACATCTCTATGGGCTGAGAGGAGCCCAGGCTCAGAAGATCCTTCCCAGCCCAAAAGCTTGTGCCTCAGTTCCTGCCCACTGGCAGTGTGTTAAATCTCAGACTGACTTCCTTGGTTTTTGAATGGCTAAATAAAGAGAAAGGATGTGCTTCAAAGGAACATTAGCTGAAGAAACAGCTTTTGTATCTCAGTGTGTATAAGTAAAACCAAAATAAATTATAACCTTAGGATCAGAGTGTAGTGAGGCTCTCTATTTTAATAGCACAGGGGTTTGCAATACACACACAAGAATTTGTAGAAAAAGTAATCAAACAGTTCAAAGGTTTTCTTTTTGTAGATTTTCATGTGTTCACCCCAAAGGTTATTTTTTCAAGCTAATAAGGGAGCTGTGGTGGCTTAGTGGTAGGGAGCTGCACTGCCAACCCAAAGATGCACAGTTCAAATTCATCAGCTGCTTCATGGGAGGATAGGCAGTCTCCTTCCATGCAATCCACTGCCTCTGAAAACCTTGTTGGTTTCAACTTGACAGTACACAACAACAGCAAGGAGACATTTCATTTTCTTTGTTCTGCTCACTACAAAATCATTTCCTAATATTGGCGATTTTCATATGCAGCATTAACTATCTTGTTTTGTGTGTCAACATGCTAAGGCATAGAGAGAGAAAACAAAGAAGTGGTTTCCAAAAGGCAAGATTTACAGTAATTATACATTCTGACTTGTGACTCGAGTGAAATATTAACAGAAAATAGGAGAACCTTATGGATAACAAAGGGGTACTTAACTTCAAAAGACCTACATGTTTCTTCAGGATTCAGCTGGTAATCAAAGCGAAAAGTCAAGGCACATCCCCGCTCTGTCACTTGATAAGGGAAAAAACTCTCAAATAGGTCCACTCCTCTTTCAATACACTTAAGAACCTCATCTGGTCTGCTAATACCACAGATGAGCCTGTAAAAAGAAAAAAGAAAGAAAAGAAAAAAACCACCAGTCATAAAAACAGTGGGATGAGGAGCATGGCAGAAATAAACCCAAGGCCTTTCCAATGAAGAGGGCACTGAAAGTGGTAATAATGAAAATACATGACACATGGTGAGCATGGCAGGAAGCAGACGGTCAGGGTGGCAGGAAACACATGGACTTCACAGGCATAAACTTGTACTTGAATCCTAGCTCTGCTGCTGATTTACTTGCAGTGTTACTTTGAGAAGGTTTCTGACCTCTCTCAACCTCTGTTTTTTCATTTTAAAACCAAGAATAATAATACATAGCCCACAAAGTGTCAAGACTAATGAGATAATGTTTGAAAGGGAACATGGCATAGTTTCTTGCACCAAAGAGAAGCTCAACAAAGGCTTCTTTTCTTTCCACCTCCATCCTTTCTGAGCAATCTCTGTAGTCTTAGACTGAACTTTATATCCTATATAAAAATTACATACATCAAAACAACTATGAGCTATCATCTCACCCCAGTAAAATTAGCAAAATTTAACAGAACAGCATTCACTGTTGGTGGCAGTGTAAAACAGTGCAACCACTGTGGAAAGCTGTATGGCGCTTTCTCCAAAAGTTGCAAACAGAAATACCATTTGACCCAAGCAATTCCACTACTGGGAATATACCCTAAAGTAACCATAACTGCCACCCAAGCAGATATATGCACACGCATGCTTACTGCAGCTTTGTTCATAATAGCAAGGAGTTGGAAACAACACAAGTGCCCGTCAACAAACGAACAGGCAGAGAAGTTCTGGTATACTCACACAATGGAATAATATGCTGCATTGAAAAATAAGGAACTTATGAAATAAAATGGGTGACCCTGGAGGATATTATGCTGAGTGAAATATATCAGTCACAAAAAAACAAATACTGCATAGTGCCACTGTTATAAAAGAGGACTGACATAGGGGTTATGGGGAGACTGAGAAAGATGGGATAAATTATGTAAACTGCATTGAAACAGATGAAGGAGCAAATGGTTTAAAAGGGATATATGTTTATGTATTATTGTCATGACAGGAGTCCAAAATGAAGATAGCAGAGTAGAATGGACTTGGGGGAAAGAATTGTGTAACAGTGCAAGAATTTTTCTTTTACTCTTCAAAAAGAAGAGTTGAACTGGGGGGAGGGGTGGGCAGGAAGAAAAGTGCAACAATGAATGAATGGAAATTCAAAGTCTCTGTAAACTTTAATTAAAATTAATAAAAAACAAAGCAAAAGAAAAAAGTGAGAAAATAAAATGCTTTCTTTTAAGCTACTTAATTATTTTTAAAAAAATACATACAAAATAGGTTTTTGAGAATACCAAGTTGTGTTCTTTATTTCCTTCAAGTAGTTTCCATGTTTTAACTATATTTTTCTTGGAATTTTAAAAACAACTTGTTCAAAAAAGACAGGTTTATCTACTTTATTCCTCATATGTTCATTTTATAAAGCAACTCATGCTTGCAGAATGCCAACTCTGGCCAGATGATCTAAAAATCTAGTTGGATTTATTTATATTTCCTTCATTAATAAACAGTCTGCACAGTGGAATGAGATGATGTTTTCAGAGGTAATGGATAAGGCATTCTCAAAGTGTTAATAATATCCAATTGGCTTTTGCCCCTAAAACAAAAGAGGAGATGCAAATGATCAGGGCTAGCTGGCTAGTGCTATTTTTTCTTTCTATATCAATAGCCTTTTTTTATGCCCTGGCAGAGAACAACTTACAGACTACTTGATTCTCAAAAGAAGTTCAAAAAGAAAAGGAAAAAAAAAGGCGTATGCAATATTAAAACAACCAGAACCCTTTAAATCTATGCCAGTTTTCCTGATGACAGTCTCCATCAAGTAATGCAATGTTTTAGAACTGCTTTCCAACTGAAGTTGGCATTTCTATACATGTATGTAAAGAGAAAAACAATCCCAGCTTTCAAATCCAGTAATAGACATCTGTGAGCACTTAACTGAGAGAAGTTCAGCAAATGACTAGAAATACTAGTGCTGAATTGTTATCTTGGCCAGAACAAAGTAAGCACAGGGCGGGGAGCAAAGCACATAAAAGTACTAGGTTAAAATTGGGACGGGCAAAAGGTGGCCAGAGAGATGGCAATGTTCAATATCTTGATTTAGTTGATATTTATATAAGAATATATATGTGTAAATATCCATGTGTACATTAAATGTATGCACTTTACTGTAAACAAAAATTCAATCTAAAAAAACATTTAAATTACATGCATTATGTATGATGTAACATCCCTAGAGGAGTCTAAATATGCACCCTTAGAATAAGAAATCTTTTTTTCTACAAGAAAAAAGGATGAGTATTTACAAAAATTGGGATAGAAGACATTAAATCATTTTCAGAAATTGAAAAACTGAGTAATTTCAAATAGACATATTAAAAATTGACATCAGCCAAAATGAGAAACCTTGAATTTGTAGCATTACAGTTCATCCAGCCTGTGGAGTCTACCTTTCAATATGACTTTTCTACCATAGCTTGATTTTGCCATGTAGATGGACGGAAATATGTGAATGGGGCATGTTAGCCTCTCCACAAGGGAACTGGCTATCTACCAACCCATAACGGAACCATCATCCATCATATCTCTGTGTTCAAGTCCCCATGATTTAATTCAGAGTTCCTTCCATACAACTTCACACTTAGCACCAGGCACTATGATATGATGAAAAAAAGAACAGTTATTTTCATTTTGTCAAGAGTAAGAGGAAACATTTAACATTTGCCATTACTCATGAGGGTCAAACAATACGACTTAAATGGCAGTTGTTCTCTGGTTTATATACTGAAATCAAGAGTAGGATGGTCTAGATGCCAACTCTCCTCAGAGTCTTCCAGTCAACTCAGCCCAGAAAGACCCTAATCAAAAGACGGGGAAACATGCCTAAGTATAGACTGCTTAACACAAAATCAGTCAGTCAGCAACCCTGCCTGGCTTCGCGTGGCTTGGCCTACATCTTAACTAAATACTGACCTTGGTTTGTCCTCTGGGAGTTCTGCAGTGACTGAAGACAGCAAGAGTAGTCCAGTGTCCAGGGTCATTGGATTCCCCTGAAAGCCATCCAGAAGGAAGCCACCTACAGGCCGCTTGGCTGTCTCTCGTGCTGACCTGAGCCTCTCCTCCATCACATCTCCACCTTCGATCACTCCAATAATAACACTTTTTCGAAGGACCTGAGGTAAAAAAGGACTGAGTATTTTTACCAATTTACAGTGCAAGAGAATTCTGTTTAAATGAACCTTAAATGGAAATCCAATGGATAAAAAAAGCTCCATGGAGGTGCTACAATTGAAGCACTAAGGAAGTTGCTTCACACTCTTCCCTTTCTTGAGAAACTCTGGAACTCAAAAGAAGACAAACTGAAAGCCACTGGAATTCTCAAAGAAAGAGGAAAAAGAGAGGCAATCAACACGTCATGTTCTAGCTTATATTAAACACAGGTAGTGATTATTATAGGAAAAGGACTATTCACACCAGCTTTAAACTTCCTCCAAGACTGCTAGTTAAGGGTAACTTTTGGAATTTGGAAATTAGTTGGCTGGGACAAATGCTTAATCTATCTGAAAAATAAAAAAATAAAGATCTCTACTACTCAACCTTCTCAGGAATAATTTGCAGGTGCACCTACGATCTAAGTATTAAAAAAAGTACAATTATGCAAGTATTAGAAAACTGTACTAAATATTTTCTTAATTTTAGGGAAAGGAAGACTTTTCTAAGCAAGCTAAAGATTATAGAAAAAGGAAGATTCATTTAGTATCAAAACTTCTCTTTACATTGTAACAGCAACAAGGCAAAAATCAACTTATTCTTGGGAGAAACAGAGCAATAGATATGAATGCACTATATGTATAGACATATATAGAAGTGCTAAACCTCATCAAGGGAACTCTGATGGCCTATTGGTAAGGAGTTTTGCTGCCAACATAAAGGTGGTTGTTGTTGTGGTTCCTTGCCGTTGAGTTGAGGATGACTCACAGTCACCCTATGAACAAAAGGCCTGAAGCCTTTCTACAACTATCGTTCTTTCTCCAAGTTCATAGAGTTTCCAGAGGAATATGGTTTAGGAAGCAGATGCCACTCTTGCTTCCAAACCTGTCTTAAACCTTGGAGCTCCACCAAACACTGTCCACCTTGAGCAGCCTTATGGCATTTGACCCCAGTGACACAAGGTTCAGCTTCACTGCAAACTCAGATTACCTGAGTGCAGCAAAATTAACTGAGGAGTGCTGTACAACTGAGAAGAATGTTCCTCCAAAATGAAGTAACAATAGCAATAGCAATAGACCCTCGGGCCCAACTCACATTTAAATACAAGTACCCTCATAGTTTCCAAAGGCACATGGTTTAGGAGGTGAATGCAATGTCCCCTTCTAAACAAGAATCAATCTGGGAGCTCCATCAAACACTACCCATGATGGGTAGCAAATTATGGTGTTTGACACACCTATGGCACAGCTGTTCATCATCACAGCAACTCCAAGTTACTTTAGTAGAGCAAACAGACAGACCATTGCTGTACCACTTAAAAGGCACATGGTTCAAATCTACCAGCTGCTCCACAGGAGAAAGATGGACAATCTCCTCTCATGCAGTTGACAGCTTCCGAAAACCCATTAAAGGGTCAGCTATGAGTTGTTTCAGACTTGACAGCACATAACTAGTTTTACCAGTGAGGAAATGCAAATTAAAACAATGAGATTTCATTTCACCAACCACATTGGCAAAAATGTTCAAAAGATAGCAACACAGCAGATGTTAAGTGTTAGGGAAAGTAGTACTTGTGTACCCAGTGCACCAGAGAGTGAAAATCAGTTCAGTTTCTTGAGAGGTCTCAAAGGCAGTATTTATCAAAATAGGTTTTTCTCTGTATATCCTAAAACTCTATTTCTACGAATCTATCTTATACATAGACTCATACATATTAAAACAGTACAAAAGACAGTTAAGTGGCACCAAGCATATTTACAAAGATGTTTATGCTCAGTAACAAAAATACTGGGGAAAACCCCAAATGTCAATCAACTGAGCAACAGCTTAAATAAATGACTGTATGTATATTTATAGTGGCTTCTGACTCATACCAAACCTTCATTGGGTTTTTGAGGTTGTCAATCATTATAGGATTCCCAGCTGGTGGGATTACAACCTAACATGTTACACTCTATACCACCAAAGCTCATTTTTTTTTAATTATACTTAAACAAATGTTCTACATGGTTTTCACCAAGGACTCGCCAACATGGGCCGCGTTCACACCAAAACCATAAAGAAGGCCCGGGTCATCATTGAGAAATACTACATGCGCCTGGGTAATGACTTCCACACGAACAAGCGCCGTGTGTTGAAGAGGTCACCATTATTCCCAGCAAGAAACTCCAGAACAAGATAGCAGGCTATGTCACACATCTGATGAAGTAGATTCAGAGAGGGCCTGTGAGAAGCATCTCCAAGCTGCAGGAGGAGGAGAGAGAAAGGAGAGATAATTACGTACCAGAGGTTTCATCCCTGGATCAGGAGATCATTGAAGTAGATCCTGATACTAAGGAAATGCTGAAACTCTTGGACTTTGGCAGTCTGTACAACCTGCAGGTCACTCAGCCCACCCTTGGGATGAATTTCAAAACTCCACATGGAGCTGTCTGAGTCTGTCTGCTGTGCTGTAATATTTTCAATAAACTTGGGCACACCAGCCTTGCCTATGTTAAAAAAAAAAAGCAAGCTCTACATGGACCAAAAAAGTAGTTGTTTGAACAGAACAAGGGAATACGTCATGGTTTGAAATCTGGAAAGGAACGTGTCAGTGTTCTATCTTTTCTCCACCCTATTCAATCAGTATGCTACTCAATATTTATGCAGATCTAATACTCTGAGTTGATTATATGAAAAAAGGATATAGCATCAAGACTGGAGGAAGACTCACTAACAACATGAGATATACAGATGACACAACTCTGCTTGCTGAAATGAAGGGGACTTGAAGCACTTACTGATTAAGCTCTAATACTATAAGCTTCAGTACGGATTATAGTTCAACATCAAGAAAACAAAATTCTTTGTAACTAGACAAAGAGTTATATAGTGATAAATGGAGAAAGACAGAAGCCGTCAAGAGTTTAATGGATCCACAATCACTAGCAGTAAGAAATTAAATACTGCATTGGGCAAAGACCTTTTTAAAGAGCAAGCATGTCACTTTAAAGATTACAGTACATTTGAATAAATTTTCAAAAGTTTTATACGCATATGTTGTTGTAATGTGCTGTCGAGTTGCCTGCAACTCATAGTGACCCTATGTACAACAGCCCTAAACTCTGCTCTATCCTGTGCCAATCTCACCATCTCTGCCACATTACCCAGTCACTGAATCAATCCATCTCATCGAGGGTCTTTCTCTCTTCCACTGTCCCTCCACCCTTCCAAGCATGACGTTCTTCTCCAAGGACTGGTCCTTCCTTGCAACATGCCCAAAGTATGTCAGACGAAGTTTGCGAATCCTTGCCTCCAAGGAGCATTCCAGCTTCACCTTCTCCAGGACAAACCTGTTCGTTCTCTTAGCAGTCCATAGTATATTCAATACTCTTCTCCAATACCACAACTCAAAGCATCAATTCTCCTTCTATCATCCCTAGTCATTGTTCAGCTCTTTCATATGCATACAGAAGTTTAAAACTGAATAAGGAAGAGTAAAGAAGAGTTGGTGCTTTTGAGTTGGTAGTGTTGGCAAAGAATACTGAATACATCCTGGACTGCCAAAAGAACAAACAAATTCAACTTGGAAGAACGGCAACTGAGATGCTCCTCAGAGGCAACGATGATTAGATTTCCTCTCACATATTTTGGTCATATTGTCAGGAAGAACCAGTCCCTGAAATAAGACACTGTACTTGGAAGAGTGAAAGGTGAACAAAGGAGAAGACCTCAGTGAGACAGGCTGATGCAGTGACAATAAAGATTTCAAGCACAGCTGAGATTGTGAGGATGGTATAGGATTGGGCAAATTTGCATCTCCCTGTCTTAAGGCCACTATGAGTTAGAATTGACTCAAAGGCTCCTAACAGTTTATAATACAGCTTCTTATGCAGTTGCCTTTTTTAGAAAATGTGATGGATATAGTACGTGTTTTGACAGGAAAGTGTTTCAAGATAACAATCAATGAAAAATAAGCAAATTGCCAAATATAAGATCACATTTGCATAATAAACACTATATTTAAGCATGTGTGTATATGAATTATGTGTATATAACTGTAAAAACTTGGGTTTGCAAGGAAATACACAAATCTCTATGACAGAACTGTGTGTGAGCATTCTCACTGCCATTCAGTCAACTAACACATAGCTGAACATCATCCAGAGGGTTTTCCAACGCTATAAATGGTATGGAAATGTATTGTCCATCTTTCTCCCTCAGAGCAGCTGGTTGATTTGAACCACCCACCTTTGGGTTGGCAGAGCAACTTCTTACCTATTAGACATTCAGAATGATGGAAAGAGAGATTGAAGTACTGTGATAAGGGAATTTCAATACTTAGTTTAAGCAAAAGGGGCACAATCAGAGAGCATATTCTATAAAGACAACTTTGACTGCTGTGCGGAGAATGGGTTAAGCCTAAGTATGGCTAAAGGGTGAAACAGGAAATGCCATTAATAATCCAAGAAAGACCAAAAAGACCTGAAATAAGGCAGCGGCAGTGGAATGAAAAGATAGAGAACATGATTTGACAGTTTTAGGAGGTTCAAATCTACCAATTTCTCTGTGAAAGAAGGACGGATACTCTCCTGTGAAATTTACTGCCTCTGAAAACCCACTGGAGGTTCAGCTCTGGGTTGGATCTGACTTGACAGCACACAACAGGAGGTAAAATCAACACAACCTGACTGATTAAGTCCGTGGAGTTAAGAGCAAAGAGAGTGGAGGTGATCATATAAAGAGCAATCTTACTACACTATCACAGAATGGGCCTGAAATGATTAGCATGTATGGAACTAATGAGAATGGCCAAGGCAGAAATGGCAGAGGCTTGCCACAGATGCTGCCACTGCCACCACTGCCATGGCAGACATGGCTACAGACGACTCTACCCCGCTATATGCAGCAAGAGCTCCAAGCACCTTCAGATTAAGTCCTTGACACTCCTAACCTGGCAATGTACAGAGTGAAAAGAAAAGCAAGTCAGGGACAGAACACTGGTAACTTCAATATTAATTGTTGTTGTTGCTGTGTACCGTTGAGTTGGAACCGACCCATTGTTGACCCTCCAGCGGGTTTTCAGAGGCAGTTAACGGCATGGAAGGAGACTGCCTAGCCTTTTCCCACAGAGCAGCTGGTGGCCTCGAACCACGTGCCTTCAGGATTGCAGTGCAGATTCTTGTCACTAGGCCACCAGCACTCCTTTCAATATTAATAAACATATCTGCATATATTTTTCCCCTTTTTCTTATATTCTCTTCCTGGTCTTATTCAACGAATCATTTTCTTTTTTATGTCTATTAAGAATAATATTATATCTAATTTATAATAAAATATTTATATGTCATATTGTAATTATTAATATGTCTAATAGTAGTCCTTCATCCAAGTTCGTCTCATTCTAGAAACTCTGTTGAAACCTGTTCAATATCAGAGAACATATAACAGAACCACTACTGCTTTTAGGGTAGATCCTAGAGAATAATAATACTTATGGTAAGGGATAGGGATGTTTGTGGAACAACAGACACTAAAAGAAATGAAGAGCAAAGAAGAAAGAACAGAAAAATGTGGTGTGGCAGGATGCACAGAGAACAGTCTGAAAAAGAACAGAGCGCTCAGCAGTGTGGTCATACCTCTGACTTCTCCTGCAGCTGGAGGCAATGATCCAGAAACAGAAGTGATCTGTCAACAGACTTTCTGGCTCTTTTTGTGGAAGATGCTTCTGCATAAGATGCTTCTCCATCTGAGAGACACTGGAACCAGTCTGGCTGAAGCGCCTCCTGAACTTCCATGAATTTGGAAGCAGTCATTTCCACACGTCCTCCAACGCCCCACACTGACACTGACTGCCGGGGAGCAAAATGATCAGGAATTAGCAATAGTAAATTACAAATTTAAAAATAAATAAATAAAGCAATATTTAATCCTTCTTTACAACTGGAGAGATTATTACAATGCAATATACTAGGTATGTGAGTAATAAAGTTTCATATATTCTATTCCAAATGCTCTAAGTACCTTATAGCTCATAGAAAATTCTCCAATGACCAAATAAACCAAATTCCCTATTGCACTCAAGAATGTTACACTAATTCTTTTCTTTGATCACACTGTTCCTTTTCTGTGAAATGCCTCTGCCCACTTTGACTAACAAAATATCACACATTCTTCAAAACACAGTTCTAATAGCTATTTCAATGTATTCCCAAAACCATTTTGGACATTACTGATCACTCTCTCCTCTAAGCTCCTAAAGGAATTTGTACTTACTTCTTTCATTTACCAAACCACTCTTCATTTGTTAGACTAGAATATCTCAATTCATGTTTGTGTCCCAAAGCAAAGGCTATAGCTTCACACATTATTAATCTTTAATAAATGTTTATTAGAATGAGTTACAGAAACATATGCAAAGGCATAACTCTCATAATTTATGAGAATCTCTGTATATAATGTTACTTTGATGCCCCCAAACATCCTTTTTCAACAGGAGAACATAATAAAGACCCAGATCCTAAAGCTTAAATGTTGGTTTAATGAATCCTCACTCCCTTACAAATGGATGCGATAAACAGAGATTAAAGTACTGTCTTTAGAATTCAAATTATTAAATAGAAAGGAGTAAATTTAAACAATCACCGCAGGTAAGAAAACAGATGTCATACTGTTCACATCAATAACACAAGTGCCAGGAAAGCTAATGTGCACACACTGCAGTTCTAACTTAGGGACTGTGGCAATAAGGAAAACTTAATGAAACCCTTTTGATACTGTTTATTATCAGCCAAAAATCTCTGGCTATAGATCCAGTTTCGTGGTTTGGATTTTTTTTTAAAAAAATTCCATCCTAAAGCTAGCAATATTACACTGAGTTTCTACTATATATAGTTATACATGTGATAGCACACACATCAGCAACTTCCACTGATTTTCCTGAGCCTTTAAATCTGCAAATAAAGCATGACTTCAAAGACTATTGTTTTTCTTCCATCACAGCAATTTCTTTTTTGAGCATGTACTTGACCCTTTTCCCCCTTTAAAAGTTTTTGTCACAAGGAAAAAGTTGAGAGTACATTTCTTAGTTTAACCACATCAACAGGCAACCCTACTCTAACTCCTATAAACCACATTCTATCCCTCCATATTTACAGAGATAAAGAAAAAGGCAGTAGGGAGTCAGACACAGGCTAGGCTCCCTTTAGTAGGCTCCTAGCATCTAAGGGACACAATAGGCTGCAAAGCTGCAGCCTTAAAGGTCATTCTGAGAACACACCTTGTTTGTTACATAACCAGCTGGACAAGGGTTGACTGGATCATGGAGGGAGCAGTACAAGAGTGACTCTGGCATACCTGTTTAAACATAAAGAGAACTCTGAGAGTTTACATCAACAATTATACCGTGCTGCAACTTTAGCATCCGCATGAGTGCTGATGGATAAAGAAAATCTAAAACACTGGCATCTGGTCTTAGAATTACAGAAGGCCTATCAACATAAGTCAAAATATTACTTCAAAATCTGCTATCTAGAAGAAGAGGGGGCTCTAGTGGTTTAGTGTAAGCAGTTGCGCTGCCAGCCCAAAGACACAAAAGTTCCAATCTACCAACTGCTCCTCGGGAGAAAGAGGGGCAATCTCCTCCTGTGAGATTTATTCTCTCTGAAAAATGCACTGGAGGGTCAGCCATGAGTTGGTTCTGAGTCGATAGTATGTAACATCTAAAATAAGAATTAAGTGGAAGAGAAAGATAATACACAATGAGGGATTCACCAGACATTGTATTTAACGAATTACATTAATCAACTGTAACTGTTAATAAAATGTGCATGAGTGGTTGAACAATAAACCAATTATGATTTGTAAACTTTCACTCAAACTTTAAAAAAAAAACAAAGACTTAAATTTACAAGTTCTTATCAAATGACACAATGGGTTGCTAAAAAAGAAAGTTAAACCTTTAAGTATGAATTATAGTGGAAGTGTTAAACAGCATTTGACCACATCCCATAGTTACATGCTCTTGAAGAAGATACATTACCGAGTATTCTCACTCTGGAGTCCCTGAGTAAATAGTTAACACACTCAGCTGCTAACCAAGAGCAGAAGTTTTGAGTTTACTTAGAGGTACCCTGGAAGAAAGGCCTGGTGATCTATTTTTGAAAAATCATCTGCTGAAAACCTTATGGGGCATAATTATACTCTGATACACAAAGAATCACCATGAGTGAGAATACACAAAAATACTGGTTGACTGCAGATATCGCTGCACTGGATGTGCTCACCAAATTGTGCCAAAAAATCTGGAGGACAACCACCTGGACAACTGACTGGAAGAGATCTGTACTTGCTCCCATTCCAAAGAAAGGTGATCTGACAGAGTGTGGAAATTATCAAACAATATCACATGCAAAAAAGATTTTGCTGAAGATTATCCAAAACAACTGGAACAGCACATCAATAGAGAACTGCCTGAGGTGCAGGCTGGATTTAGAAGAGGTTGTGTCACTAGGAATATTATAGCTAATGTCAGATGGATATTGGCTGAGAGAGTACCAAGAGTACCAGAGAAAGGTCTATCTATGCAAAGGCATTTGACTGTGTGGATCACAACAAACTGTGGCTGACTCTGAGAAGAGGCAGAATCCCTGAACACTTGATTGTGCTTATGTGAAATCTATACTTGGACCAGGAGACAGACATCAGAACAGAGCAAGGAAACATTGCATGGTTCAAAATTGTGAAGGGTGTGTCCTATCTCCCTATCTTTTCACTCTATGTGCAGAACAGGTTATCCTGGAGGTTAGGCTCTATGAGGAAAAATGTGGCATCAGGATTGGAGGTAGACTCATCAACAATCTGCACTATGCAGATGACACAACCCTGCTTGTTGAAACTGAGGAGGACCTGAAGTGCTTAATGCAGAAGGTCAAGGACTGCAGCATTCAATATGGATCGAAGCTCAACATCAAGAAAACAAAGATTTTTACCACTGGGCCAACTGGCAGCATCATAATGGATGGTGAAGAGACTGAGATTGTTGAGAGCTTGAATTTGCTTGGCTCTATATTCAACACTCTTGGTACCAGCAGTCAGGAAATTAAAAGACAAACTGCATTGAAAAAGTCTGTTGTTAGAGACCTCTCCAAAGTACTGAAGAGCAACGATGTCAGTCTGAAGACTAAGGTGTGCCCGATACAGGCCATGGTCTTTGCAATTACTTGTTATGCATCAGAGAGCTGGATAATGACTAGGGATGATAGAAGGAGAGTTGATGCCTTTGAACTGTGGTGCTGGAGAAGAGTATTGAATATATACCATGGACTGCCAGGAGAACAGGTTCATCCTAGAGAGACTGAGACCAAGGCTGCTCCTTGGAAGCAAGGATTCTGAAGCTTCATCTGACATACTTTAGATATGTTGCAAAGTGGGATCAGTCCTTAGAGAGGCACATCATGCTTAGGAGGGTTGAAGGACAGCGCAGGAGAGGAAGACCCTCAATGAGATGGATTGTTTAGTCACTAGGCAAATGGGGAAAGGTGTGTCAGAGACAATAGGGTTGGCAAGGGATGGAGCAGGGTTTAGGGCTGTTGTATACAGGATCGCTATGAGTCGCAGGTGACTCAACAGCACATAACAACAACAAAGGTGTCATTTCTGGAAGAAACAGTGCAGAAGGAGAAGAGATGAGGGAGGGGGAAGAGAAGAGACAGGGAAATGGCAGAGGGAAACAATGCTGAGGTTAAGGACCAGCAAGGGCAATGTAATCAGGTACTTACACGTGGTAGGTTCACTCTAAGTATCAACTTTCTTAGTTACTTAATTAGCTACTGAAAAGATGACATGAAAGCCAAAAGATAACTGTATCTATAATAAAGTCAATCTGGGAAATGGAATTAAAGTTATTAAATTATGCATATCAAAAATAGTTAATTTGGCAAGTGCTATATACATATGTTGTTGCTGTTGATTGCCTTCAAGTCAAGCACAATTCTTAGAGACCCTATGACCAAAAGGCCTTAAGCCCATGTCACATATGGGATCCTAGGGGCAGAAGTTTAGAACCCATAAAATATACTGCTGTTGAATTGAGTCTCATTCCTCGATCTCTCGCTATAAGACCAAGCATACTCCCCCTTGGCTTTTCAAGGCTGTGATCTTCATGGAAGCCTTCTCTCAAGGCTACGATTGTTATAGAAGCAATTTGCCACAACTTTCTTCTAAAAATGGTCTCCTAAGAATCCCTATTGCCACTGCACTGTCTCTTCTGCACATGTTCTCCAGAGCAGTTTTCTCTGAGCTTCCATTATACATGTTATTAGATGGTATGGAGCCTTTATCAACCGAGAGCAGCCCATGTGGCAAGGCAATACTATCCCAATAGAGTTTTCTAGGCTGTCATCTATTCATAGGAACACATCATCGAGTCTTCCTTCCATGGAGCTGCTCGGTGGGTCTGAACTGCAAACTTCTGGTTTGGCAGCAGAGTGCTTAATGGTTGAACTATCAAAGGTCCTTGATAAATGTTAAGTACACATTCTTGCCTTATGGGCAACAGAATGAAATGACGCCCAGTCATGCACCATCCTCACAATCATCATTTTGTTTGAGTCCATTGTTGAACTACTCTGCCAATTCATCTTATTAAGTCTTCCTTTTTGTTGCTGACCCTCTAAGCACATCCTTCTCCAGGGATTGGCCATTATCATTTCCACAGAAAATCAGGCCGTACTTCTTCCAGGATAGATTTATCTGTTTTTCTGGTAGTGTATGGTGTTGCTGCATACCACTGAGTCAGAATCAACCCATAGCTAACCAGCATGTTTTCCGAGGCAGTAAAATCCCATCATTCTCCTACAGAGCAGCTGGCATCTTTGGGACTGCAGCTCAGCTTCTTACCACTAGGTCAACCAGAGATTTCTGGTAGTACATAGTATACTCAATTTCCTCTGCCAGCACTATAATGCAAAAACATATAAAAATGTACATATCCTTAAAACAATGAGTAACATTATCCCCCTCTACTAGACTCAACTACTCATTTTTATCTCATCTAGGCCAGAAGAGCAAGAACTGTTTATTAGTTCACCTTGAAAATACCAATATTTAGCTTTCATATGCCCAATATATTCACATATCACAAGGCACACAAAAGTAAACACTTTTACCTATAAATTTTCCAATGCCTTCCTTATATTCTGTCAAAACGTCATGATATTCTGCTCTGTAAGAAAAATACATAACAAAATAATGAGTCAATGTGTAGATAGTTTATACAATTAAAATTATTTCCTTACCCAAATAAGCTATGTGGAAAATGTAGCCCTGAAATAAGAAAATGCACCAATATTCAAGTTTCAACTAAACAGACCAAGTTCATCAAGCAGAGTACAGGTTTTCAATTTGCAAGTGGTTCTTTGAGAAGAGAAATAATCAAAGATTAACTTGCTTCAGAATACCTGAATTTTCTTCCTCCTTTTAATATATTTATTATTTGATCACATAGCAGTTTCTTCAAATATATATATATATATATATACTATAAAAAATGATACCATACTTAGTTTTATTACGTATAAAATAAAATTACCAAGTAAACTTGCAGCAGGCAGAAAAAACTTTGGGGCAGGTAAACAAAGATAGCCGCAGGTTCCAAGTTTAGCTCTTATGGAGTATGTTCTATGTCACCCCTGGGAAGGGTAGCAATAAGGTCTGGGAGCTTAGGCTTAAGGAAAATGAAAACAGTATTAACATACGCCCAGCCTCCACCTTCCAGAGAAGAGCCAGCTGATACATATCTAATAGCTCCATTCTGATTTCACTCTACAAATATATACAATTTATACATATAAGCAAAAGAAATGTTTGATGTGTCTTTTTAAGGTAATGCAGCTGCTGCCAGAGGGAGCTCTCAAATGATCAAGTCTGACACTTACAGTGAGGACAGTGTAAGCTGAGCCATGGTGGGGACCCCGTGGATGTTATGCAGCGTGTGATGGGTCAGGTGTGGGGCAGACCCAGTCTTGGTATAGAGAAGGCAGCCTGGAATGTCCATGGTGTGGTCACCAGTTTTACCCAGGTTTTTTATTTTCCCAAGGCGGCAGCCATTAACGACTTTGATAAGGTTCAACTTCATCCTAATGGATTGTTCTAGGCCCTGAAAAGAAAAGGGCATTAATTTAGCAAGTGTGCCACAACAACTAAAAGCTAACCATTTTGCAAAGAAAGTAATCTAGTTTTCACAAGTCAAGGCTAGTATGTTTAAGACTACTTTGAGTGTATGGGTTTATTTATTTATTTTTATGTGCTTCTTTGTTCTTTAAGTTATAAAGAATAAATAGGGAACCACCTTCTCCAACATCTCAGAGCAAGATGATGGTATCAACCAAATTTAAATTCTGTCACAGAATTTCTATCTGAACTAAAAGAAACCAATCAAGTTGAAGGGCAAGAAGTAGAATGACTATATATGGAAAAAGCCACGAAAGAAGTGAACTTCAGAATCATTCTCTCAGTGAAACTCTCTATCAAGTAAGGGCACACTACTTAAGTCATACCGATTTGATCCACTATTTCTGTCTTCAAGAAAAGACTTGACCACAAGGCAACATTTCCCAACATATTGTTAAATGAAGAAAACAGAAAATAGACCTGAAAGTTTATTGAAACATACATAAAATATACATTTAAAAAGAAACCAAAAATAGATTCTCCTGAGTGGTAGGATTAAGAGAGATTTCCATTTTCTCATTGGTTTTTTGCACTGTGTTTAAAATGAGGAAGAAATCCTAAAATATTCAACATGACTTTTCTAATTGCAAATGAAAAATACTTCCAAGAAATACATATCTAATAAATACGTACCTATTTATTTTTTATAGATGCAAGAAAGGAAAAAAAATTACAAAACATCATCAAATACTTTGTTAGAAGTGGATTTTGTCTATTATTTGAAGAAGAATCCTTGACTTCACTTTTCATATACATTACAGAAACTGACAAGCATGCATGGTAAATTCTTCTCAAAAGTTCACCGGAATGTGTCAACAATTTATGATAAATTCAGTGTATCTCTACAGCAAGTACCATATCCTCTAAAACTTTTACCAATTGGTTGGGCTCAATTTTTTTACCAGACAAAAGCTTACAGCAATCTAAGAGGCTCAAACTTAAGAACCTGTCCTCTGTTAAGCATTACATTGACTGTCAACAATTTTTAAGATGCTACAAAATAAAAACATATTAGCTATCATTAGCTAAACATACTGAGGAAGATGAACATTACTTTCTTTTATCCATAAATTCTTTTATTTACTAAATAGTCAATAAAAGTCTTTAGAGTTTTAGAATGGAAAATAATTATTTTCTGTATGGTTCAAAAATATTTTTTCCTGTTTAAAATTACTTGTGGGGGGACGGTGCAATAGGAAGCGTGGGACAGTGCTCCCTGCACTACTCCCAGAGTTATTTAGGGGGGGGAAACTGCTGTCTAGCTTGACCACACGGGATCCCTTAACTCAGGCAACAGGGAGATCCTGCGCACCTCGACAGAAGCGAGAAGCCACTTCCAGAAGGGGACAACAGGCTTCCTCCCTGGTTTTGGAGAAAAAAACTGCTGTCTGGCTTGACCACGTGGGACCTCTTAATTCAAGCAATAAAACAGCAGCAATCCACATCAGCCATTAGAAAAAAACAAAACAAAACAAGACACAAAATAATCCTTCTCCTAAAAAAGCAGACCCAATGAATACCGCAGATAGAGAGAACCAGAATATGCTGATGTAGAGTTACTTGAAAAGCTACAGAAAAAGAAGCAAACATGGGAAGAAACAATGAAAGGCAATAAGAGAGCAAACACTTCAGAGACAACAATCCAGAAGAAATATATAGATGAGGAGAAATTTGAACAGATATGAATGAAATTACTAAAGATGGAAGAAAAAAAGTTGATAGAATAGATAAAGAGGTACACGAAACCAAAACATGATCACAAGACAGAGAGGGTACTGTGTTTTCCAACACAGTACTGGAAAAAACAAAAAACATGAAAATGCAATCCAGGATATTAAGATCAAAATGGCAGAAGTGTTCAACATGCTGGTAGGACAAAAAAGTAGAACTAAAGAGATGGAACAGAAAGTCAGTGAGCTAGAAGACAAGAGCCTCACTAAAAACCTACTTGAAGAAAAATCAGAGATGAGACATAAAAAAAATGAAGAAAATGTTAGAATTATGTGGGATGACATCAAACAGAATAACATACATATGATTGGAATTCCAGAACATGGGAAGGACAGGGAAATCACTGAGAAGACTGTGGAAGAAGTATTAGAAGAAAACTTCCCAAGGAATTTCGAGGAATGGGGAAATTCACATCCAAGAATCACAGAGAACACCAAATAAACAAGACTCAAAAAGAAAAACACCAAGACATATCATAGTCAAATTCTCCAAATTAAAAGATAAGGATAGAATTCTAAAAGCAGCACGAGAAAAACACTTACCTACAAAGGGGATACAATCACATTAAGTTCTCATTTCTCAGCAGAAACCATGAGAACTAGAAGGCAATATACAGAAAACTGAAAGATAACAATTGCCAGCCAAAAGAAAGATCTTATTTGTGAAAACAAACCAAAACTACAAGAAATTTTAAGTGAAGTCCTACACACAGAGATGCCAAAGGAAAATGAATGGACCATAGCAACCAGAAACAACAGAAAAAGAAAAATGGCAAAATGGCAAAAGTAAAATTTGGCCTGACAATAATTACACTTAATGTAAATGGACTGAATGTACCAATTAAGAGAAAAAGATTAGCACAATAGATGATAAAAAAAAATCCCATCAATATGTTGCCTATAAGAGACACATCTAAAAAAGAGACAGACTCAAAATCAAAGGCAGAAAAATAATAAACCAAGCAAATGGCAACCTAAAAAAAGCAGAAGTGGCAATACCAATCTCTGATAAAATTGATTTCAGAATGAAAACCACTGTCGAACATAAGGAAGGGCATTACATACTGATTAAAGGCACAATAGATAAAGAAGACATAACCTTGGTCAACATTTATGTACCAAAGGATAGACCATCCAAAACACACTAAAACAACAGTTAACAGAATTCAAGAGAGAAATAGATATCACCACAACAATGGTAGATTTCAACATACCACTATCACCAAAGGACAGGTCAACTCAAAAGAAAGTCAACAAAGATGCAGAAGACCTGAACTGCACAATCAGCCAACTCAAATCTGTGGATGTATTCAGAGTACTGAACCCAACTAAAACTCAATTCACTTTCTTCCAAGTGCACAAGGTACATTCTCCAGAACTGATCATATATTAGGTCACAAAGCAAGCCTTAATAACTTAAAAAACATAGTAATAATACAAAGTCTTTTTTCAGACCACAATGCCATAAAACTAGAATTAACCACAGAAGAATAAAGCTTATAAAACCACTCATGCAGAAACTAAATAACTCTTGGCTAGAACATGATTGGGTTATAAAAGAAATAAAGAATGAAATAAAAAAGTTACTTGAAACAAATGATAATGAAAATATAACTTATCAAAACCTCTGGGACACAGCTAAGGCAGTTCTTAAGGGGCAGTTAATAGCAATCGGCACACATAAAAAAGGAAAAAAGAAGAATCAATGATCTAACTCAACACCTTCAGTAAATAGAAAAAGATCAATTTAATCCTATAACCTCTAGAAGAAAAGAAAGTATAAGGACAAGAGCTGAAATCAATGAACTAGAAATAAGAAAAGCAGTTGAAACCAGCAATAAGACCAGGAGCTGGTTTTTCAAAAAGGTCAATAAAATTGACAAACCACGGGCAAATTTAACAAAAGAAAAAAAGAAAATGCATAGATAATTCAATTAAGAATGACAGAGTTGGGGGAGCTCTGGTAGCCTAGGGGCAAGGAGCTGCAACTACAATCCCAGAGGCTCACGGTTTGAATCCACCAGATGCTCTGCCAGGGAAGTAGGGACAATCTCCTCCTGTACCAGTCAGATCTGATTTGACGGTGCACTCACACACTAAAAGAAAAAAAAAATTAAAAATTAAAAAAAAAAAAAAAGAATGACAGAGTTGACATCACAACAGAACCTGAGGAAATTTAATCAATAATATCACAATACTACAAAAAGCTATACTCTGATAAATTTAAAAACCCAGAGGAAACATAAACGCAGGTTACACACATGGATTTCACCTGATAATATGCATAGGAATTGGACTAATTACATCTGTGGAAAGAACCACTGGACAAGCTCACTATCTGCTCTGAAAACTAGTCCAGGTATTGATTGTGGAAAAGATCACCTATATGCAAGTTCAAGCTGAAGCTAAGAAAAATGAAATCAAATCCATGGGAACCAAAACATGACCCTGAGTCTATCTCACCTGAATTTCAGAATCATCTCAGGAATAGGTTTGAGGCCTTAAACACCAATGGGCGAAGACCAGACGAGTTGTGGGAGGATATCAAGTGTATCATCTAGGAAGAGTGCAAAAGGTCATTACAAAGACAGAGGAGGAAGAAAGACCAAAATCGATGTCAGAAGAGACTCTGAATATTGCACTAGAGCGCCGAGAAGCCAAAGCAGAGGAAAGAATTCAAGATATTAAAGAGCTGAACAGAATATTTCAAAAGGCAGCCCGGGAAGACAAAGTAAAATATTACAATAAAATGAGCAAGGCACAGGAGTCAGAAAATCAAAAGGGCTGAACTCGCTCAGCATTTCTTAAGTTCAAGGAACTGAAGAACAAATTCAAACTTTGAGTTAAGGATGCACTGGGCTGAATATTAAATGATTCAGGCAGTATTAAAAGAAGATGGAATGAGTATACAGAGTCATTGTATCAAAAGGAATAGGCACACACAGAAGAATTTCATGAAACAATATATGAGCAAGAACCTATGGTGATAAAGGAAGAAGTTCAAGCTGCTTTGATGGAATTGGCAAAAAAATAAAGCCCCAGGAATTAATGGTATACCAACTGACGTATTTCACCTAACAGATGCTGCCCTCCTAGATGTGCTCACCAAGTTGTGTCAAGAAATCTGGAGGGCAGCCACCTGGCCAACTGACTAAAAGATAGCTATATTTGTTACCATTCCAAAGTAAGGTGACCC